ACACAAGAATTAGGTCCTTTTTAGATCTTTTTTCTTGGCCTCAAACTGAACAGAATGCATAATCACAGGGGAGTAAAAGCTTTAGTCCAGCATCATACTAGCGTATTCCTCTGCTAGTTAATGGCATCAGATCTGTAGTAGAGTATCTGCTCCCCTGTCGTTTCAAAGTGTTTCTCTTTCATTTTGTCTCAGTAATAATTCTAGCGAGTCTCTTTAGTTGCCACTTGGGCCAAAAATGCTTTTTTCTTACTGCAGTAAATTAAACTGTTCCCCTGTTGACCTGAGTCTCTCTCTCTCTCTTTTTTTAAACTTGGTGGGATCAAGTTAATGCAGCATTCAGAGGAAATGACAGTTCACTAGTCTTGATCTTTTATCTATCTCGTTTTATCTTGATGCTGTAACACCAAACAGCCAATACGATACTTCCTCTCCATCTCCTAGTAGCAGAGAGAGGCCGGGGCTTGTTTGATTAATTATATTAGTTGAGTCTGCCATACTCATCGATGTCTTATTTGGCTCAGGTTTACTCAAGCTGGAATCTCTGTCCATGGATCTGAAACATCAGTCATCCAAATGAATGCGTCATGATGAATCTGTGACAGTTTCCATGGTGCTGTATGCGGTAGACTGATTTTTTAATTGTGCCCTTTTTCTCCTTAGATCTAAAATCAGAGTTCTCAGAGTGTGTCCTTGGGTAACTTTTTGTGCAGTCCATGAGGAGGAAAAAATTTGTAGATTAAACAAGGAAATTTTCATAATATTCATAACAAGGAAATCAAACATTTTATTCACATACACATTTTTCCCTAGCAACCAGTGGTTACCTGGGCAACTCTCAGCTTTACAGCTTTACCTACATACTGTAGTATCTGTGCAGGTTATACACTAGTGATTAGAGATCGATAGAGATTAGGTAGGTCAGTTGAACTAGTCAACTCCCCCCAAAAAAGAAAAGAAAAACAGTTAGAAACAGGTAGCAGGAAGAGCAGGAAGAGCAGGAAGATCACAGACACAGACTGTTGTGTGCTATTGTACAGTACTGTTGTAGTATTGTTATTATATTCCTTTAATACACTTTAACCTCCTAAGATCCAGAAGACAAAATGTTCTTTTTCAAAATTGTAATTTTTTTACTTTTTATGTTCTGCTTCTGTCCCTTGAAGTGGACATCAGGTCTTGTTTGATCACAGAGTGATATGATGGCTGAGTTGAGCAGAAAAAATTATGGATATATAAAGACAGATAGAACTATAGAGGTGGAGTCAGGCGCTGTCAGCTGTCATTTTGCCTCGAGGAGCCTGGGAAGGGGGATGATGACCCCCAAAGTTGATCACGGATAAGACGTATTGCATAAGCAATAAGGGGCTCTGAAGTTGTGGGATGTGGTTTGGAATTATTAGGCTTGTTGCATTCTATTTGGAAGTACATTTTTAAGTTCAAGTTTTAATGCTTCCTTTGGAAATGACCATTTCCACCTTGTTTGTGTGCTGATTTTTTTCTAAAACCTCATTGCCTGTTTTCTGTTTGATGGAATCAGAGCACCACCCAATTTGGTGGTTTTGGGCAGTGTTGTCCTGTTTTCATGTTTCATGCTAAAAACGATTTCCGCATGGTATTTATGCTATTTTCACTTTTGTGAGTGCTGACATTTTTTTCTTCTCAAACCCGGTTGCCTGTTTTCTGTTTGATGTTATCAGAGGACCACCTGTTTGGTGGCTGTGTGCAGCGGTGTCCAGTTTTCATGTTTCAGCGTGAAAAAAACATATTTCAGTCCAATTTTAGCATGGTTGAAATTAACCTGATAAAGACAGGAGACGTACAGTTTAATGCACTTAGCATGTATTTTATTAATTACATAAATCAGCAGAATAAAAGAAGAAATCAAACTCTTAGCTGGTGTGTGTCTGTGAATTACACACGTTTATACAAATAGGTTTATTAGTTAGGTTTAGGAAAAGATCATTTTATGGCTAAAAATAGATATTTAACATGCTGACAAAGAAGATGAACACATTTTAACAAGCTGTTTTCATAAACTGTTTTAAAACTGGATGCGACATCACACACTGCTCTTAAACTCATTGTCACTGTGGAAATTTGGAGTCCGATATTCCCTTCAGTTTGCAAGCTGCATACATAGCTAACTGCTGAATCCTAATTAGTGCTTAGTAACAGACTTATAAAATACTGAAATTTCACTCACTAAAACTAAAGAAGAAACTCGTGCTGCGCAGCAAACTATATCATCTATCAGATCATTGCAATTAAATGCTCCCAAAGGCACAGACACTACAAATTGTTGGATCTAGCAGCATGGAGGTAAGTGCCTAGCGGACGTGACTACAGCTTCCTGTTGGGCACATGTCAAAGTAGCAGCACCTATAATTCAGTTGTTAAGAAAATGTATCTCGTCTAGAGTTGTTGTGAAGTGGCGAAACTATCAATAGAGGGAAAAACCATTTTTGTACCAGTCTGTAAACATTTTACTGCAGTAAAGTCATTTTATTATAAAAGTAACATATGCAGATTGATTTGCTTTTGAAGTTGCCACTGAAAGAAATAACATTTTTGGCACTTTTGGCACTTCATTTTTTTTTTAATACCACTTTAAAGTTTTCTTGATGCCAAGCTATGAATAGCCATCAGGAGACCAGTCACTTATTAGGCCGTATTATGGTGTCTTAGGTGGACATCTATCACAGTAGCTGAATTGTGCAATCTCCCTAAATTAAATTTTTCCCTCCTTCTGGAACACATCAGACATTTTAATGCATTAGCTTTCCAAGGCATAATCTATCATAAAGAAAGGCGATAATGCCACAGCTGTCTGCGTCTGGCTATATTCATCCAGTATGCAGTTTGCCAGCAGGGTGAACTCACTGTAATCAAATGCCCAGTGTTAAGTATAGACTGAGCGGACTCTATGCAAATAGGTGAGAAAAGAAGCAAGTCTACATGTTACATGAGAATTTCAATAAGGAGAGATCATTTAGAAGAACTGAACATGATTTATTGAGAGAGTAAAATTAAATAATGTATTTGCCAATTAAACTCTGATGACCCTTCATGGCAGAGCAGAATCCCAGCATTGATTTAGGACAGGATCCCTAGATGGTGGTGAAGATGAAGATTGAGGCTTGGTGGATAGAGCTCTGTTGGGTGTGGTGGCGATGGGGAGGAGAGGGGCTGCACGAATGAGACTCTGAAAGGGAGAATGACAGAGTAGTCAGATTTAACAACACAGAATGGAGGCAGATTGGCTCAAAGGAGACAGGCAAGAAGATGATAGGACTGTAATGATGTCAGTACTGACTCAGACAGCGTGGGGAACTGGTAGTGATGTAAAGAACAGACTAGTAGCCGAACGTCCAGGAAAGAAGGCAGACCATTACATTATTATTGAACTTACACGTAAGCTTCATTTTGATGTATAGAAAAAAATGTAAAAGCGATTTTTCAAAACATCATCTCTCCGTGTAAATACAATGAACTTGTGCGCAGGTCATTCCACATCTTTTGCTTGTGACATGTAAACTTTGGCATGGAAAATAGCGGCACATATTTACTGTATTATTTATTTCATGCTAAGGTTGTTTTTTTTTTTTCTTTCTTCTGCAGCAAGTGGTTATAGCAATTCGAGAAGGTGTGAACCCTTCAGGAAATTCATCCAATCAGACGAGCCTCTGGGACATGAGTTCCTCCTTTTTCTTCGCTGGGACTGTTATCACCACCATCGGTAAGCAGAGAAATTCCTCATTCGGCTGTGAAATAAAATGGAAATGCAAATAAATTGTAAGAACAATGTGGAAGCATTTTGGATACAAGTGGATACACCTCGGTCCCACTACCAAAAAGTGTGAGCCAGTGCCTGAACAGGCCTTAAATAGTTGTTTTAGTTGAATACTTGTCCTGATCCAGTTTGGTCTATAGCAGCCTCTCACTTGAGATTATTCCAGTAAATAATTTTGTACCTCATTTGCAAATTGTGCCCTCAATGTTAGCTACTGTGCTCTTTATACATAACAGAACTTAAATGTCCAACTTAAATATTTAGTAATGTAATTTGGTTTTATACGAGCAAAAAAACAGCCTGAAACTCAAGCACACTTCCCTTTTTTCCATCATTTACACCATTTGCTCTCTCTCTGTCACCTCCAGCTGTAAGAGCTTGCTAATCAGAAAAAAGGAATGGCACGCACACAAACACCCACACAACCGGTTTGACAGCTCATCTGGCTCTTCCAATTGGACCATGACAGTTCGCCGTGTCTGTTCAGTGGGCTGTTGGGCTCCCTTTCACATCTGTTGCACCTTTTCAGAGCACACCCTCCCTTTAAAAACACCCTAAGTGTGATCTTGATAAATATTTTAGCGTCGGGTTTTGCTCGCTAACGCTAAGACTTCTCCTGCAACCTCTTTCCAGATTTCTAGATTTTGGTGCACTGCGCCAGGCTTGTGCTTGCAGTTCTGCTCATGAAAAATTCCCCTCCACACACACACACACACGACGGGTATAACATATCTGTGTGGTGGGCTGTTGAGCTTCATTTCATATTTCCTGGATTCTGTCACAGCTCATCCTTGTGATAAAATGTTGCTAATGCATTGCATTACCATAAATGGATTTTGCCTTTTGGCTTTAAAATATGCTTCCCCTCGAATTTATTGCAAAAAAGCAAAAACTGCACTGTGGGTTTTTCGTCTGCTCACCTGAGACTCAGTATGTTGACTCTCTCTTTTATACTCCTGTGCTCCAGTGAGTTAAAGATGTCGAGTTTTGTCAGTACAAGCAGGTTTACTTCGATTTTCTATGCAATGTGAGTGCAGTAAGTGATGCAGAGAAATGAAAGAGCTCTGCTTTAGTTTAAAAACTAATTAAAAAAGCATGAAGCATCCAAAACTCTCTGAAATTAAGAATTAAAATCTTTTTTGGTAGTAAACTATGCTTGAAATTGGATTTTGCCACAGAAGTCTCGATCTGTGGTGATTTTGTTTGCAGTATCTCTGATGGTTGTTTGTGCAAACAACATATAATTGCTGCTCTGCCTGTTGGCAATCATTTTAATTTTGCCTTACTGGAACAAAATGTTCTGTGGCCTCTGTGCTGCTATGCAAAGACATCTTGCTTTAGAGAAGCCATTATGTCATTTCTTGTCAGCGCACAGTCTGTAAAGAATCTATTAAGAGTCCAGACAGGAAAACATTTCTGAAGCCATATCAAACATTACATTTCATACACACATACTCCTTTGTTTATGTGATCTTTAATTGGATGCCCATTATTGAAACATAGCATACCCCCCATCATCGTTGCCCTTTATCGAGGAAATGAACTGGAATAACTCTGTGGGTTCGGTTGCCTCTCCTGGCTCCTTCCTACCCTCTCCTGGGAGCAAAAGAGCAGTAATCATTGATCTCACAGCATTTCTCCCCCCATGGGATTTCTTTGTTAAGACTGGTATACTCGGAAATTCACATTTCTACTGTATTTACACCAACAGATCTCAAATGATTCATTATTTATAGCCTGTAGAAAATTTTTTATTATTCTCTCATACAACTTTGCTCCTTTTGGACTCTGTTGGAAGGTTGTTTTTACAAGAACATGTTGCGACACGTTGTGCAATGGTTTTCCATAAAAAGGTATATTTTTATATATTTTTGATACCACCTCAAACCCACTGTAACAACATCTGATTCAAGGAAAGAGTAAGAGCAACCAAACCCGGAGCCTGTGTCTTTTTGTAGCTAATGAAGTCACTCTGTTAAATGTCGTGCAGCTGGTTTTCTCTCCCTGTGTCACTTAATGAGTTTAGAAGGAAGTCATTAAGCTTTTACTGTCCACTGCAATTGTCATCGCTCCTACGAGAGATTGCACAAGACCTGACGTGTTACTATATGTAATCATCACATAATCCACTCAACTGTGTCGGGAAAGAGGCGATCCAGGGCTCCTCCTTCTAAAATCTTAAGGTTAATGTACTGTTCATGAGGCAATGCTCTGAAACTAACTCAAGAATACCTTTCGTGGTTTTTGAAGTCTGATATATTGCAGGTCCTGTAGGAAAACAGCATCTCGGTAGAGCAGAAGGCAGATAATGTATTTTAAATGCATGACTTCTTATGTTTTTAGATATTTTTAAGAAAATATGTGATGGTTTAAAATTGGCTGTTTTTGCCCAGGGCTGTCACACTATCAGACTACCACATCACAGTTACAGTCAAACAGTAAATCAGTATATTAACAATAACATGCTGATATCTGCATAAAAGTGTGAAGCCAGTCATTATTTCATTATATTTTGCTTCCAAGGACCCAGACTTAAAAAAAATTTCAGTGGTCTTGAGTGGTCAATTTCAATCCAGTACTTGTATGCAACAACCACAGAATAGTGATTAGCAAAGAGCAATGAGCTGAACACTTGGCATGTCTCAGCATGGTGTAGCCTTAAATTTTTGAGGTAACCGGACAAGTGGAGGACAGAAGAAGAAGTGCTAGGACTAAAAAATATCTACAGATGGACAGTATCTGAAAATCATGTCCTTTAAAAATCAGAAAAATAAAAATCCATCAAAGACCTAACATAGGACCTGTTCGGGGAAACCTCGTGAGAAATGGTCTCAGTGGAAACAGGTTTGCCAAATTACTAGAGCTAGATTGAAAATAAGTGGCAACGAGTAAAACATTTGTTTCAAATCATTGTCACTATGCACAGAGGTGGTCAGGAGAGAGGCACAACAAAGAGTGTGTGTACAGCCATCTGAAACACATGGTGGAGGTGCTGTCGTGGTTTGGAGCTCAGTCAGTGGTTTTGGGGGTCTTGGAGATCAAAACTGATGGAATTAAAAACACTGTCAGATTTCGATCCATATAGAAGTTGCCTGATTAGATACATCTGAGTTTTTCAGCTTTACTGCCAGTGCAGTAAAAGCGTATCTGGTTAGAAAAACATACAATGGACATGATCAGTCATGGATTGGCCTCCCCAAAGCCCCAAACTCAGCATTACTGAAGTAGTGTGGGATCATCTTGCTAGAGAATGAATCAAAAGGCATCCAAAACTAGCTTTGAATGCTTTTTTTTTAAATAAGAACTATTCCTGAAGATTACTTAAAGAAAAAATGCAAAAGCTTACCTGAGAGAGTTCTAGTTGTGTTATAGGATAAAGGTGGTCATACCAAATATTGACTCTTTAGGTGTTAGAATTGTATAAGCTCTGTTTTTGCCTTATACTCTACTATACTTATACTGTATTTCCATGTATGTTTGCACGTTTCAATGACAAAACTAAAAATAAACATTTTTTTATTTATATCTGTCATGATTTTAATCAATATATAGTCATCATGACACTTCTATTAACTATTTATTATTTGATTATTTATGCATAACGAGGTAACGACATCGCCTAATGAATAGACAGATGAATGAAGACCACAGATGTCTTCTGCCACATGTGACTAATACCCTTACCGTGCTAAGCTTTTATGTCTGCTATTGAAATAAAACAAAAGAAGAGCTTAGAATATAAACTAGAATTAATTCAGGAAGAAATGAATTAAGTACAGGTTCAAATTAGAGAGCTCCTGCTTCTCATTTGTTTTGCAATGTCACCCGCAGGTTAAAAAACCTAATCCGACATCCTGTTTCCCATTGTACCGATCTTAAAATTACTGAGCCATGATTGACAATTGTTCTCACATTAGGTGTCACCCTGCTCCAATGTGATCATGGAAAGTTGTTAGAAGACACCCTGCAGCTCATTTCCTGAGACAGATGACTACATTAATGAAGAAAAGTGGATGTAGTTCATTATGCAGATGCCTTATTAAACGTTAAATAATGAAATTGATATTGCATTTTGATGGGTGTGTGGGGTCAGGAGTATGAGAGGCGCAGGTCTTGTTTTTAAACAGGATGTTGACTTTAATAACCTCCATTTGATTTTCTAGCTGCAGCTAAATATGGGTTTGGGGATTAAAACAAAGGCGTTAAACCTGTAACAGACTCATATTTTTGTTTCTCGGGTTTCAGAGGTACAGCTCAGTGTTCATCGCTTCATTTTCTCCCCATTTTTCATTCATGTTAGAGTTGGCTGAGAATAGAGGGTGTGAATAATAAGCTTTTTTCCGAGTCAGAGACGTTACGCAGCTTCTACTGAAATTTCTCAAAGCTATTCTTTTGTGCCTCTCAGCAATCATATCATAGCACAGTCAGACTTCGTGAAAATGTTCTTGTCTGGCAGGTTTTGTTTTGTGCAGCCTGTAATGAATGAAGTTCTGAAATTCTGATTTTTTTTTTTTTCATGTGAATATTTTCTCTGCTTATTTATCCACTTCTATTTGTGTTATTTCAGTAATTGCATTATATGTGGTACAGTATAACAATGTCTAAGGCAGGACAGACAGGAAAAAAAGCACAATGTATCGCCAACTACAGCTCTTGTATAAAAAAAGAACAGACATACAGCACGTGCAACACAACAATTCTAAAATACACAGATACATAAATCAGCAATCTTCTTGTAGTATGAGTGTGTGTGAGAGAGAGCATGCCCAAAGGCAGGCAGAGATGGAACCAGAGTCCCAGAGGACCAAAGGCAAAAGGGAATCAACCCTGATAGAGGCCTGTCACTCTGGTACAATTCAAGAATAGGGTCCCAGGTTTCCAGGCACTCAAGAACCACCTGGCGAGCAAATGCTGCCCCAAACCAGTGGCAAACTGGTACTGCAAAGACCCTCAATGTCTAACTTACAGATAAAATGAGGGTCAGTGAAGGGGTGAATGGGGCCACTGCAACCCAACCCCCGGGCCACGGACTGGTACGTCGTTTGGTACCAGGCCGCGAGAGTTGAGGCTTGGGTGTGAAATTTATGGTTTTCAGGGTTCCAATTTCATTGTACTACTGTACTATGTATGACTGTGCAATGACAATAAAGAGTTATCTTATCTTTTATCGGTTTTTATCGTTATTTTTTTAATCGTTTTATTGTTAACTTGGTTTCCATGGGTCTTTTCCCGCGTGTTCTGAATAAATCTTCTTTTTTTGGTACCGTTACTGGTTTTATTTTGTTGTAATTATCAGCGACACCTTAAAGGTCAGTCCGTGGCGCAAAAAGGGTTGGGGACCACTGAACTATATGATTCCCCCCTCCGCCCAAGACCCTAAGGGTGTGAGTGATGTGATGTATGGAGCCGGGACATGGAAGACCAAGTAAGAAAGGAGAGAACCAGCAAACGACTGGTTCAGTAGGCAGCCCCATTCCCCACACCCTGCCAGAGGGCGGTAAGAAGTCAGACGTCAGGCACACAATGACAATGACAACAGTCCTGAACACCGCCATGTCTAGGGCAGCACCCAGCGCCACCGCCACAAAGAGTAGACTGGAGTGTGCAGATGAGTCCCGAGGCTTGGAGCTCATCTGCACATTGCGTCACAATAAAGGGGTGAGACAAAATGGTCTGGGTCTGGGACAAGCTCCCTGAGACAAGATGCCCAACCTACAGGCACCCACGAGCCCTGGAGGCACAGACCGGACATTGTAACATGGGTCAGCCCACCTTACACATCGAGGTGACCAGTGGGGGGGGGGACCATCCCCACATAAGGAGGGATCCAGCTAGTGACCAGGCAACGATTTGGTTGCATTGCTTGTCGTGTAGTACTGCTTCTCTGCTCATTTGCTTGCATGTTTCTCTGAGCCTCAGGGTTTTGGGTTTGGATTTTGGACTTTGCTCATCTTCTTTTTAGGACTTAAATCTGAGTTTTTAATCTAAATAAACAGTGCCTTCTGTTTAATCTAACCAATGTCTGTTTTCTGCATTTGGATCCTTCACTCTTCATGTTCCATTTCATTACAGAAGAAAAACCAAACACTTGTTCACACAATTTTTCATGATTTAAACTGACAAGCGTGATATAGCAAAAGTAGAGAGCAATAAGATTTTTAAAAATGTGCAATTTCATGAATGAAAGCTCAGAGAAAAATAAAACAGGTGCAACTATGAATCAACAATCGCCTTTAACTTTTATGTTAGAAAGTATGCAAATTGTACATTAAAACTATGTTCTGCTCCAGAGGATAGAATAATTTGGAAACATAACATCACTGAAACTGTCAAGATCCACTCAACATTCACTGTGTGTGTGTCATTTCTCTCAGGATTTGGGAACATCTCTCCTCACACAGAAGGTGGGCGGATCTTCTGTATAATCTATGCCCTGCTGGGGATTCCCCTATTTGGATTCTTACTGGCTGGTGTCGGGGACCAGTTGGGAACTATTTTTGGGAAGGGCATCGCCAAAGTAGAGAAGATGATCGTGGTAAGATATGTTCTCTATCCATCAGTGACATTATACATGAATAAAGTTGTAAAAAGTTAAATTTATTGCAAATTTAGATTAAAAATGAATACAAATCTGTTGATAAGGTAGATAGGCACTGACTTTTATTACCTTGAAGATTGTAGCATCTGGTAGATTCCTAGAAGAAAGACAAAAAAAGATGAGGGCCTAATTATCAGATGTTTTTCATTTCCTGATGTACTTTGTTTATCTTCCGTAAAAGTCAGCTGAAATCATACGTCCCCTCAAAAAGTAGTTTAAGAGTCTCCTGTTTCAGTATAAAAGCACTGACAAAAGCATTTTGTCAGGGGACTGATTTTGATGTATAGCTGGCTCTGTCCCTCCCCCGGGGAGGAAAAGACAGGTTGGAAGGTCATGGAGACAATGGAAAAAGATGGACTGCCACCTGCTGAACTCACTGCCGTGCAGTGAAGGTGCTGAAATCCATCAGCTTCACTGGTCCCCATGGAAATACAGTGATTCAGTTTTAATTTGTTTCTATAACATTCACTGTAGATTACCTTTCAACTGTGCATTGTTGTACTATGCTTTTTTGAGAGCGATGAGGACATAAGACATCACAGACAGAGTGATCTGAGGGCAGTCTGCTCTTTATACTTTACCTCTGAGGTGCTGTGCTTTGGTCTTACATAACTGCAGAGGAAAAGGGCATGATACCAAGAGACCCAGCTGAAAGCAGTCACCATGAGTGCAAGGGCAGCACAAAAAAGGACAGCGTGCAGAATATGATGCACAGTAACTCAAGGAAAAGACGAACTCTGGGGATAATGAGGAAATGAAATGTGCATGCTGTTGTTGAAGCAGTGCAAGTGCTGACTGTAATGTATCAATTAGCATACAGTAGCTGCTACTAAAAATGCAGTAAATTTGTTATTAGAGCATTTCCAAGGGATGTCAAGTCATGGGTGAGCGTTCCATCTGAGAGTGGAAATGATGTCACATGAACTTCACAGCTTGAGATGTTAGAAAACATACAGTTTATTCCTAGGAAGAGGTCAAAGAAAGTGACTCATTACAATATTCAGATCCAAATAAATAAATAAAAGCATGGGTTGTTGTTGTTGTTGTTTTTCAGTTATTACATTATATGTAGTATACATATTGACAATATCTAAGGCAGGACAGGCAGGGGGAAATGGGCTGGTGCGGAGCGGAATAAAAGGATAGCATACAAATAAAAATTCCCGATGTATCGCCAGCGGCCGCACCTGTAAGGAAAAACAAACAGCTTGTTTTATTAGCACATCAGAAACCATAGCACATGGTAACTACTCATAAAATTCAGCCGCAGTGTTTCCATGTAAAGCTTCTGAGCTGTTTGAATTCTTTCAAGCACTTCCCTATCGCTCCCACAGATTGAATTTAAAGTTTTAGTCTCCGAAAGTGCACATCATGTATTCTTCATGCGAGCAAATCTCCCTACAGAAGTGGAAAGTCAGCCAGACAAAGATTCGCGTCATCTCCACGCTGCTCTTCATCCTGTTCGGGTGCCTCATCTTTGTGGCCCTGCCAGCCGTCATCTTCAAGCACATCGAAGATTGGAGCACTCTCGAGTCCATCTACTTTGTCGTCATCACACTCACCACTATCGGCTTTGGAGACTTTGTCGCTGGAGAAAAAGGTCACTTGAATTTTCTTTTGTCCTTCATTTTTATGTAGAATCAGTGTATTTATAGTTCAATGATTTATCGGCCAGCCTGACTCAAAGGATCTGCGCAGCGGTGATAAGCCTCCCAGTGCACTACAATTATATTCTGTGCCTCACTTTAATTTACGAGCACCTTGACAGTAGTTCTTATGAACACCGATAACATATTTAACTGTAAAGACAACCGAGCTCATAGCCACTGATTGTGTGAGTCTCTGGAGCTCTACCAGAACATCAGATTAGTCTCCCAAATGTTGTCTTCATTTAGTGCTTTGAAGATGTTGATGGGAATTACTTTATATCCAAGCAAGCATAACAGAGCCACTGATCAGATTTTGTTTCTAAGGAGCCAGACCTTCTAGTAATTTTTTACAGTAGTTTTGGACAATAGTTCTCCATCTTTCTGAAAGATTTTCGGACATTGGCTCATTTCACAATAATTATTCCCATTTTGTTCTACCATATTGTTTAATCTTTGTGAAACAGCAAGCTTGTTTTACAGTTGTTCGGGTTTTTTTGTGCAGAATAAACAATGTGTCACACTGTGTCTGATGGACCAGTTGGCATTTTGTTATCTTCAGATATACCCTGCTTCCTGCTCATTTTCAAATTTTATACAGCTGCTGGACGTAGATTCATTCTCCTTCCATAAATAAACCCGAGAAGAGCACTGATCATGACTCACCACAAGAAATGGAATAAGTGTACCGCATTTCTTGAAATGTCACACTATTTCATGACGCAAGTCTGTAAACACCCTAAAAGAATAATTATAAACAATTAACTAAACACACTGTACATAATACAGTATGTCTGTGATAGAAAAAGTAAGAGTGTGTACTGTGCATTTTTCGCAGCTTGTGTGTATTTGTGTAGCAGCTGGTATTAGCTTGATTTGACCTTTTTGGCAGATAACAAGAGAGAGGCAGATGGGACAAATCACAAACACTTAGACTGCTGGATTAAACTTCCCTGAGCAGGCCTAATGATTATAGATTAGATTGTGGCACCTGTGCCAACCCCCAGTAGCTACACTAAGCTAATCAACGTGGACTCCCGTTAGTTAAAATGTTGTTGTAATGGGAGATTATCTAACTGCACACTGAGCTTGCTGGCTCTGACTCTTCATCCCTGCTGATATTTTACGGAGTCATTGAAAGGTAAGGACCATAATGGGGGCTGAGGTGGCATTTAAATGGGCTTAAGGTAATATGTTCACAATGACAGAAAACCAGAACCAGCCCATGAACTGATGCAACATGGATCTATTATAGAAAAATCATTATGTAAAAGCCCCTATTCCTGGGTCATTCATAGAAATAGATTTGGGTAAAGTCAAGCAGAGCGTTGTGCAAAAGTCTTTAGCTACCACTCATTTCTTCCAAGGAGCCAGACACCTTTGTTTAAAAGTGTTCTTGAGACTTTCTTAAAAGTTTTTCCTTGGACATTGGCTGCTTTTTCACTCATTTTCTGTCCATTCCCTGTACCTGACTGTTTTCAAAAGGCTGACCTACAAATCATTCAATCGTTCAAATAAAGGCACCTAACTCAAGGGAACAACCAGTTTGGGAAAGAACCTATTTTAAATTTTATCTTAGGCATTTTGTTATTAGCAGTCTGCTGCAAAAACAGATGTCAAATCTAACACTTTTAAATGCATAAAGTAGGATATTTGCACCAACAAGATGATTCCCAAGAATCTATGAGCTAAAAACTTTGCACAGTGTGCAAAGTTTCTTTAAAAAGTTTGAGGAAATTGGACAAGTGGGGGACCAAAGAATTGTCAGGCCTTAAAAAACTATCTACAGCAGATGAAAAGTATCTGAAAGTCATGTACTTAAGAAATTGAATTCAGGTTTAAAACCTTTTTCTACCACCAGCTGTGAAACATGGTGGAGACTCTGTCATGGTTTGGGGCTGATTTCAGCCAGTGCTGTTGGGGATCTTGTAGTAAATATCTGCACACATATATTTAAATGAATATTTGCAGCTATTTCTCATTTTCCAAGCAAAATGTAAATGAGAAATGAGAGGCGGCTCGAGACTTTTGCACAGCGCTGTAAGTATCCCAGAACGATGTGACCGACTTTTATAACACAGTTTTGTTTGTTGTTCTTCAGGTGGGTTCGAGAAACCAGAATACCTTGATTACTATAAACCCGTGGTGCTCTTCTGGATTTTGGTGGGCTTGGCGTACTTTGCTGCAGTACTAAGTATGATCGGAGACTGGTTTCGGGTTATCTCCAAGAAAACTAAAGAAGAGGCAAGTAGTGCTGTTAAGTTGGCTCTTTTGTTGGTTTTACTGAAAACATAAAGCATGCAGATATGTAGAATCTGAACTGAAGTTGAAGAAAGAACTCTGTCAGCCCCTCGAATCCCAAAATTTATCTTAGAGTCTCATGCTAATAGCATCCCATGCTTGAGGAACCAAGCTTGTGGTTGGTACTGAGAGGTCTATTAGCATATTTTATTTTCACTTTTTTTTTAAATTGCTGTTTAGCCTTTATTTCACACAAAGTATCCAACAAGTTTGGAACATTTTCCAAAGCCATCCAGCAAGGCTGGATTGGAGTCTTTGCTGGGCCAATTCTGGCCCCCAGGCCTTATGTTTGACACCCCTGCTCTACAAGGTATATTGAGATGATAAGTTAGTATTCTCCAAAAGGTGATTCTGTTCATCTGGACATAGCGTTTTCTGGGAGAAGCGTTTCGTCACTCATCCAAGTGACTTCTTCAGTCTCAGCTGACTGCAGGTTTCCCCAATCTTATAAACAGTACATTTGCATAATGACTGAAACCAGCCCACTGAAGGAACAATGGGAACAATGGGACGATGGAACAACAATGGGAACAATGGGCTGTGAGGCCAGTTCCTTAAGGAAGAAACAGCCCATTGTTCCTTCAGTGGGCTGGTTTCAGTCATTATGCAAATGTACTGTTTATAAGATTGGGGAAACCTGCAGTCAGCTGAGACTGAAGAAGTCACTTGGATGAGTGACGAAATGTTTCTCCCAGAAAACACTACGTCCAGATGAACAGAATCAACTTTTGGAGATTTATTTTCCTGGATGATTGAGAATGCATCAAGATAAGTTAGTATTCTTAAAGTAGTTAGTATCTTAAAGAGTGAATTTTCACTCTTTAAGTAGCAAAGCGAACAAATTTGTAGTTAATGCATTTTTTTCCAATGACAGAAAGGTTCAGGTTACTTTTTTTGTACCTGTGAGTACAGACATTTGGTCTGCAGTAAGTTAATAGTCCTGCACACTTTTAAAACAAACACAAGCCTAATCCAACCTAATGAATTGAATAAATAATCATAAAAGAGTTTCCACATCATGAAGCATAAATAATCAATATAAGCAAAACTATGATCTGTTCATCTGAAAGATGGCAGCTGGAAAAAAGAATGTTTTTAAGCCTTATTGTTTTACACTTCAAACTTTGGTGTGTTTGCAGTGGCTGGTGCTGATAAATATGATACTGTGCTGCTGTGGCAGGTTCATTATTTATATGTAGAAAGAATGGGAAAAGCCACACATTCATGCACACATTGAAGGGCATATAACACTCTATAGTGGGAAATCCTTTCACAGCCATAATTAGGAGTACAGCTGTGTAGGCTGTGAGCTCCGCAGGGAATTGCATTACTGACAGACAAAGTGGGAGACTGGGGGAATGGATTAGGGGAAGGGAAGAGAAAGTGAAAAGACAGCAGGGAAAGCGTGCAGTGTTTGTGCTCCAATGTGCGCCATCATTTTCAATTCAAGTGTACCTTAGAGCCTAATAAATAAACAAAACAGCCGGGAGAAACGGGTCTAATTCATAATGAAGGTGGGATCAATGATGTGTTGGCCTAACTCCCTCTTCCCTGTCACTATTCAGGAACCATAAATAAGCATACTGTGCAAAGTACATACAGTATATATCCGCCAGAGGCCTGTTCAGTAGGTCACAAACAGCTCAATGACAAAACTCATTTTTAATTCATTGCTTTAGGCTCCTGCATTAATATTCTTTGGGAAAAAAATCTCAGCAGGCCAGTGATGAATGGTTGGGAAAATGTCTGTAACCTCTAATGTGTGTACAACATCTTGTGCCAAATGCAGCACAAAAAAAAAAAAAAACTCGCAACACAGACCCATTTCTAAAAATCACAATTTGGAAACATTTTCCTGCTTTTAAGTCCTTTTAAGTCCACTACCCTCAGGTTAATGATAGCACAAGAGAATGAGACTAAATGTACTAATGCTTTAAAGAATTTTATTCTCATTCATTTCCCACTTCTCATAAAGTTCCACACCTGAGGTTGGCCTTTACCGTAGCTAACTTTTATTGCAAATAATGAATGAATGTTAAAAAGGTCTGTCGTGCTCATTTGATAATTGGAGTGCTGGCATATTTTGTGGAAGAATGCTCTGGATAAGAGCTATTAAAAAGGGGTTTGCACTGATTAACGGAAATGACATTTTATAAACCATGTTCATGTAACACATCCAAGTTTTTTTGTTTTTCCTGGATTTAGTGCTTCAACTCCATGTTTTACATTAGAGTTATAAAAAATTACTTTGTCTCTTCACATGAATTAAATTTTAATCTGACTGTGTGACAGAGGATGGCAGTAAAAGTGTCTCTAGTGTAGATGCTTAGAACTGTGCCAGAAATAGAGAAGCCTCGGGGTTGCCATGTCGGTGTCTCAAAACCACCCTTACAACCAGCAATAACAAGACCAAAACAAGCCTAATATGCTGCAATGGGATCCCCATTGTCATGGTCCTGGGTCCTTTTGACCCAGCGTTTTGTATTTTCTATTAGTGTGATTGTTGGTTCTGTTCTTCCTCTGTTTAGTGTTTACTCTGTTCTGCCCGTGTGTTCCTGTATCAAGTCCGCGTTTCTTAGTCTGTGTCCTTGCATGTGTAAGTTCCTGTTTTATTGTGAAGGTCTGCGTCTTATGTGAGTGTTTTCAGTTCGCCTCCCTAGTCTCGTCACGTTAATCACTCCCAGCTGTGTCCCCCACCTGTGTGTAATCTCCCTGTGTTCTCTGAGTGTTTTTAAGTCGTGTCTTCTGTCTTAGTCGTGGCTGGTTCGTCTGTGTTGTTTACCTCGGTCTCCCTGCATCTCTCCATCCGTCCTCCCTGCATCTCTCCATCTCTCCACCCTGCATCTCTCCATCTCTCCATCCGTCCTCCCTGCATCTACGTTTCTGGTTTGTTTTGTTAGCTCTGCCCAGTTTAGGTTCCAGTTTCATGTTCCCGCGCCATTGCTGTTTGTATTTTCTTTTGTTTAATAAATACTCACCTGCACCAGAGCTGCTGCATTTTGGGCCCTATCTTCAACCCCACACGTCTGCCACACCGGACGTGACACCCATATTAGTACGGCAGTGTATGTACATGATGAGTAATGTTGGTAGATTACTTAAGTTAACAAATTTAATATGAATTTTTATTTATAGATATTTGATTTATTTATTTATGACCAAATTTGGCACATGGGCACATTTGGGACCCTAAAAGTCAAGGTTCAAGGTTCTTTATTTGTCACCTGCATAGTTATACAAGTATAACACACAGTGAAATGTAGCCTGACACGCTCCTCAACATGTGCAAAAATGGGGGGGGGGAGAGAGTATATACATTGGGTGAATGTGCAGTAGTAGCAGCAAGCAGGTGAATTCTGTACATTAATATGAATAGACATCTGACGTCTGACATCAAGTCTTATCCATATCCGATAGTATGATCTCACCCGGTTGTCTAGCAACCTCCTGTCAGTTAAATTTACACATTTTAGCTTTTATGAATCTTTAACAGCCTATAAAAGCAACATATCATTTTAACTTCAAGACAACAATAAATGTATGTCAACAGAATTTGAATACTTGGATATTATACGATATGCTATTCTCATGGTCCTGTGTTTTGGAACCCTAAGTTTTGGAAAGTTTTTGTGTTTTGGAACTTTGTATTCTTGGTTATTAAGGGTCCTGTTTCAGTTGTAACTGGTTGTTTAGGGTTCTTAGTTTTTTATTGTTTTATTATATTGCTGCTGTGTTTGGTCTTGAGTTCGGACAACCTTGGTAGTCTGGTTTTTGTTTGTGTTTGTGTTTACAGTATATTTTTTGACACAACCAGTCGTGGCACTCTCTGAGCCTGGTTCTGTCTGAGGTTTCTTCCTGTTAAAAGGGAGTCTTTCCTTCCTCATGTTGCCAAAATGCTTGCTCATGGGAGTGACTGTTGCTGGGATTTGGCGCTTTATAAATAAAATTGAATTGAACTAAACTACCTTTCATTTTTTCATTGGCCTTCAGATTCTGGATTCTACAATCACCCTGAATAAAGGTTCACCTTGTGTTTAATTTTGTCTACTTTTAATGCCATGTTAAAAGTAGCCCAAATCTGTGGGAAACCCACAAATCTAGCAACCCTGAAGACAGCTTCAGCTCTTTGTCCAAAACCACCTGCACACAAATTACCAAAAAGTGCAACTGCACAATCTATCATAATAATTTCATCACTGTAAAATACCAGCAATTATATAATTCACGCATGTTACCCAAACACAAGTAAACAGAGACATTTAGTGAAACTAGACTTTTCTAACACCAGGTGTAGATAGAGGAACTAAGAATCACGTGTTTGATCGCCTTCAAACATCAATCTTCATTCTTTTTCTGCAGGTTGGGGAGTTTCGTGCACATGCAGCAGAATGGACTGCAAATGTGTCAGCAGAGTTCAAAGAGACCCGCAGGCGACTCAGTGTTGACATTTATGACAAGTTTCAGCGTGCTGCATCCATCAAGCGCAAGCTGTCATCTGAGCTGGGTATTAATGCGTCCATCAACCAGGAAATGACCCCTGGCAAGAGGACGCTGTCAGCTAACTTTTGTGAGGACAGAGAGGGTTATCCCACAGTGAATCTTTCCCTCAGTCCTCTCCCGGGGGCCCTGGCGAGGAACGGCAGCCTTTATCTAAACGGCCTCAGTCCAGAATACGCCGACCGACAGGAGATCGCCATCATCGAAAACCTCAAATGAGGAGCAGCGTGAATAATAAGATTTGGGGAGCTGTGTAAAATACATCTAGCCACTGACAGAGATTACAGATACAAACATGCTTTTGTGTTCATTCACAGAGCATCGCTGATGACATACCCAAACACATTTGTTAAGTAGACTGTGTTCCAACCATCCCATAAATCAGTCATGAAGCCATGTACCTTCATGTGTGTGAGCCTCACACATAAGAACACACAGTTTGGATTTAGTCTGTGAAAGAAGTCTGAAGTCTTATGTCATCAACGTGACTGACTGACTGCTGTGCTAGTGACTGAGCCAAATCAAAAAAAAAAATAATGTTTCAGACTGGAGCAAATGATTGTATTGGAGGCATGAGCTTGAAGAAAAAAAGAAAACTCCTCCTGAGCAGAGGAAGGAAATGAAAACCCTGTACTGAGGTAGCAACACACTGGGCATCCTGTCCTCCTACCCCATGCAAACAAAGACCAATAAATTCATCAAACTTCGGAAGCAATAGACGTGTCTTTGCAAAGCTCCTGCTGAATTTTTCAGAGGCCCTGAAATCTGCATCAGATGGAGAGGATCCTCACTGATAAAAACACTGCATCATCAACAATGAACACGTTCTCTACAAGACAGCAGCTCTGTGCTAACACAAAGGAATGTCCCTCTTTCTTTTGCATTACGCTTGTTACAGCATGAATTTATATGCCTTGCATCTGCCGGTCAGTCTGCCCTCGCTATAGAGATGAATGTTGACATATTAGTTCCTTTGTGACTGACATTCAGTTTCTCATTATGAGGAATATTCCACTCGTGCCTTACTAAAGAGTATACTGAACCTTTGAGGATGACGGCGTGTGAGAGACTGAGCAGCGCTTGTGCGAGCTCTCATACTTCTTATTTTTGAGAACGGCAGTGATAAAGATGTATTTGGGATGTGTCTTGGAAAATAAGTGGACTTTTTTTTTCTTTGACTTGAAGTTTGCATGACAAGGGAGGAGAAAGCATTTTGAGATATATTTGATTACTTGAGGTAACATTTGAGAAAAGGTCACCGCTCTATCAACTGTCTTAGTTGTTTTTTTTTTTCTTTAACCATCTTAATGTGCCGACAGTTACATTAACCACAGTGCCAGGCTTTCTGATCAAACCCTCTAACTCCAGTATACCAAAGCTATGATCCTGCTTTTCTGACAGATGAATAAGATATTTCTAAAATCTAGCATTTCAGGGTTTTGAAAACTGAATTTAAATGAACTTCTGGCATTTGAGGTACTGTAGTAGTAAAATATCCGAAGCTGTGAGGCACATCTCCACCTTACCGCTCTCTGTGATTGAGCTGGTTGGGGAATAGTTTCTCTATTTGTAAAGATAAGGTCTGTTATGTATTGCTGTTAGTGAATGTATACAATCAGAAATCCTTATTTACTGTGTGTCACATTAGTGACCCGATTAAGGCTTTACAGATATACTAGCGGCATCATATACAAGAAGAAATTATTTAAATAAATGCTGCTCTCTTGCAGGTTTGGTGTTGATGAAAATTTATACTAATGGCAGGAATGTTATTCAGGCACAGCCTATATCTCACTTCCATTTATAATTACACAGAATATGAATCTACTTCTTCTTTTAAATTATTAAAATATAAAAGTTAATAAATTTTTAAGGGATATTTTCCATTTTAGTCTCTCCTAGTGTCTTTAGTGCATCTTGCTTGTCTGATTTTGTTCAGTGCATTTAAAAAGCAACAGCTGGCACTGTCCCATTCATTTAATAGTGCCATTTACAGTTTTACAGTTTGTCTTATAAGATGATTTGTTATGCCATATCAACCTTCCTCCATTCTGCTGCCATTAAATACTGCTAATTTGTCAAAGCTTTTGGCATCTTAGAGGTACCCAAAGTGTCCTTTGTCTTGACACTCCAGTTGTGGCAGTAGTGAGGCCAGTCAACCCTTTGATTCAAGCACACCAGTTACCCTTGAATGCCATTTAACATGCAGGGGTAATGTAAATGAGGATGTTTTAGCAAAAACCACAATCTGGAAATTGAATGCTAAGCTAAACTGAGAGCACAAAGCCCCAAATGGGACACAAATGAAGTTTCATGGTTGATAGGTTTGTGATTTATGGCACCTCCCCCTGCATCCTTATATGGTCTTTGTTGTTCTTTCACACTTTACAGTTTGGCTTCATCTAATATTCCCATAGCTGCTATGTCAAGACACAGACAATGACGAAATTCAGGGAAAAGTAAATTAAAACAGCTTGAACCAACCAAACAAGGTCTTATACAAGGATTAGTTGTCAAATATGTATGTCCATGAACTACCAATTGTAACGTTTGTAACTAACTTAACTCCAGCTTATATTAGCTTGATATTTCATTACTCATTTAGATGACTTTGGGGGGGAAAAGTAGTTTGTGATATGGTCAGCAAAAGTGACCTTTTAATCTGACCTCAGCACAGTTTTTCTATGTATCTAATATGTTCCAGTTCATTTAAATAAAAAAAAAAATGCAGAAATATGTTTCATTTTTGTATGTATAGAAATCAAATCTGAAGTAATTCTGCTCTTACAAAAGATTGGAAATCATAACTATTGCTGCATATCATCCCACCTCCTAAAGGTGTAAGAAATAGTTTTAATATGTTTTTATATTTGTTTGTTTGTTTTTTGCCTTTCTAAGATCTTTACAGGCTAAGACATTACTTCAATTTTACTTCCCAAGTGACATTAATCCCCAAGTGTGACTCAGTTTAGCGGGCACAACATAATTCCTGACATGTTTTCTTGGTTTGAGCAGAGTCTGGTCGTGTGTGTTCGTGTATAAAAGCCATTCGCTATTATGTGTAATAAAATCAAAGGGGCATCACTGAGGAAAATAGAAAGGAACTTTAACAAATAATACTGTTACTTCTCTTTATGTTTCTAAAAAGCAATCAATACCATGTAAACAGTTATCTGTACCGTGTGCTGAACTGCAATACACTGGGAGAAAGACTATTAGTACATAATTGCTGAGTAGTCTGAGGAAAGCCATCCCAGCTTTAGTGTAGCTTCTCAAAGCAAAGGCCCCTAAAAGACTGTGCTGCTGCTTCCCTTGTCAGATACGTGATTAACAGCCTGTGAGTGCTGCAGAAAGTCAAGGAGGACCGTCAATGAAGTATTATATAATATGTCAGGACACGTAAGGCCACATGCACATGGTGGTTTGTATGACCATTAACGACTGCACGACTGAGCGTGTGCGTTCGGGTTTGAGGAAGCTCATTAAGTTTCCGCCCACACACATTACGTTTCCTTCTCTTTTCCCGAGGTGACAGTTTTTAATTAGGTCTGTAGCTCACATCAGAATCCTGATTCAAGCATGGTGAATGTATCCACCCATCGTTGACAGCTGAGAGGAACCTCATTATGGACGTAAGCACATGCATCATTTAACGCAGCGATAAATGCTTGCAAAGGTGTTCCAATAGCTCATGTGGGTATGCTGTGAAAGGCCTTTTAAAGCTCCAGCCCTCATTAATTCAGAATCAGAATGCCGTAAACGAGAATCATGTATCAATCATAGTCATAATAACATGAACTAATAAATATATATCAACTTGGGTTTGGAAGATGCATGAAAATTTTACAATTTGTGATGGAAGGACAACACAAATAATTTTCACTGTATTTTTTCTATATATTTCTATTTGTTGAATATATGTGAAGGCTTCATGGTCACATGATCTTTTTTTAAAAAACATGACATCATCAAGTGTTGCATGCTATTTTAAATGTTGTTTATTGATCATGAATTTCCTATCCTGGGCTTTGTTTGGTTTTTAAAAACAATATAGCGTTGTATGTTTCCAGTGTGTTAATGTATGGTATGTCACATTAAATCATGACCACTTTTTTTGAATATTTAGAATAAAAGGTTTTATATGAAAAAGGTCATTTTGTATAACATGCAGTTTGAATGCATAACATTTTTTGCCTTATTGTAACATTCTACAAATCCAAGACTGTTTCTCTGTATATCAGCAGTTTCTACTAAAGATGTAGAACTTTTAAAAAAAATAATTATATGGTTTTATCTTAATATTATTAACCAAATAGCTGAGCACTGTAAATTTCAACAGATTAACACGGTAACACTAAATATTGTATTTGTTAGTGATGCATGGGCCATTATTCCTGCAGCAAAACAAATATTGCTGTTAAATTACAGTAAAGTACCTGAAGCTACATTTCTTTCTGGTAACAGTATTTTAAATAAATCCTGCAGCAGACTGATAAAACTAATTATGGATAAGCTGAAACCTTCTGTTAATGTTGTTGGGAAGTCCAGCAAAAAGAGCACTGTAGCAATCCAGTCTACTGGAAATGAATACATGAGTGATGGAGGCTCATAAAGGGTAATGTCTTGGTTATATTCCTAAAATGGAAGAAGGCTGTCTTTTTGATAAAAATCAATGTGGAGTTTAAGCTCAAATCAGAATCTAAAATAAGAGTTTTACTGCGAGCTAATGTAACTAACGTATGAATTAACATATCATGTTTGATTTTAGGCCCAGTTAAAAGAACTCACATTTTGTCTTTGTTAAGTTTTAAGAGGTTTGTGGTGATCTATTTGTTAATGTCAGTCAAATACAGTGTTAGAGAGTTCATCATCTAACTCAGATAGGGATAGCTATGTATCATCTGCACAACTATGGTAACACATTATGCTGTATGAACAGGTTGCCAAGTGGTAGCACATATAAGGGCAAAAGTAATAAACCAAGACAACTGCCACAGGAAAAGTCATGAGTGGCTGATACCCAATCTTTCCTGTCAGTAATATATGATCTAAACCAGGGATGTCAAACTCATTTTACATGCAGTGTTGGGACTAACGCGTTATTAAGTAACGCATTACAGTAACTACGTTATTATTGTGGTAACGAGCACGGTAACTAGTTATTATGCCAAAATCAGGAACGCGTTAGTCGTTACTGGGATTTAGATAGGGTCGTTACTCGTTACTTCGTGTGGTGGCTATCGCGGAGCTTCCACAGATTCTGTAACATTAGCAAGTGGTGGAGGCAGCAGGTGGATGAGAGAAAGGGGACACAGAAGGAAAAGAGACCCGAGGCGGCCGCCAGTCCAAGTAAGAAGGTCCAGGTAAGAAGTTATGACCTGCAGTCTATCTGGGTCAGATATAAACCAAGTTTAGGTGGAGT